AATCTGAAGCGAATATCTCAACAAAGTGAGATATCAGCTCTTCCTCTCATCAGTTCTAGGACTGACTTGTCGAGGGATCTAATAAAAACTATTACAATGGCCATAAAAACAAATCACACACGTTTTATGTGATTCGGCAAATTACCTACGTTCACGGGGTAAGGAGGGAGGAGATCTACTATTAGAGAGGAGAGAATACAACTAGGGTTTACAATTACTCAATTTAAACCCTCACACAATCTCTCAAATCTCTCACACAAATATCTCTCTCAAAAGCACAAAAAGACTGCACACAAAATTTCCTCTGCCGAAAAATTACTCACAACCGAAACTCCTTGCACGCAACCTTTCCCCCCTGTTCACAGCCGCTTTTCCCTTGCTTGCACTCCTGCACACCTGCACATGCAACCACAAAAAAAAGACTCCCTGCGATTTTTCTCCAAAGCCACCGAAAATAAAAACCTAGCACATGTATTTATAGGCTGCTCCCACGACGAGATTAATCAATCTCGTGTTAGGCCACACCCGCACTCACATGTTTCGGGTGGGCCCCAATAGGAGTTCAAGCTCATCACCAACCTTCCTGATTCTCATAAGGATTGGAAGGAGAAATTCGTCTAGGTCGTGGGAGACGACTTAGGCTTGGGCTATTTCAACTGTCCCGAGATAAAGAGGAATGTGCTCTCGGGGGGTGTGCTATCTGACACTGAGAGGGTCGAGGTAGACATGGTCAAGGCATATGTTGGCTCTCGTCGGTTCGAGGACCTGCTCGACAAATCAGTCCTGCGGGTCCCCGGGGTGCCAAATGAGCCTTTCACCGACCAAGATTATGCTAGAGACTCAGTTCTCATCACAGGGGGAGCAGAGGTGGTGTCGGTACCTACTATTCTTATAGCTGATCTCAGGGGGAGTCGTCTGCTAGGCCAGCAAAGCGTCTTCGCTGAGACATCCCTCCAATGGAGGCCGAGGAGGAGGCTGCTCTCACCCTTGTCCAAAGACGGTGGAGGAGGTATGTGGAACATGTACCTCAAGGGGAAGATGAGGAACAGGAGGTACAGGCGGCGGCTGAGCCGACTGAGGCAGACGTTGTTCGCTTAGACAAGTCGTCTTCGGGAAAACGGACAGAGGCTTCTCAAGAATAGAGAGCCGAGAAAAGAGCTGCTGAAGAGGGAGAGTCATCTAGTTGCCACCGCGACTCTACTCGTCCAGGTAAGGAGCCGATCGAGGAGGAAATAGTGTCTCCTTCTAGGCTAGAATATCCCCTTCCCCTAGTTATTCTCTGATATTTAACATGACTACGCCCACATTCTCTAGGCATGCTTTGCAATCTCATAAAATCAAAATACAAAATCATCTCTCTCATTTATTCTATTCTTTCCCAATCAAACTAAACTTTGCACCATCTAAACAATAAACCACTCCACTAGGGTTTTACGTCACGTATGATTTATGAAAAGAACACAAGATTGATCATAACACTCTGACCAGCACAGTTACATTATGGTTTAATTATTTTAGCCAATCACTTAGGACTTGTTCCTTTAGCCATATGGCTCAAAAGTTTTGAGTTACACAACATGCAATAGTCATTTATTAAGATTAATAAATTTTAATGGCTAAATAGAAAAATCAATCTTACTACGGCTATGATATGGACTGGACGTAAATCCGTCCAACGTAAGTATGGGCTGCACAATTTTTCCTTGAAAAGCGTGTTTATGTACTTCTAAATTGAAATAGGGATTGCGACCTCGCTGTTTCGTACACTGTATGTTTTGTTCTAATTTATTGTCTTCTACTTAATATGTAGCGCCAATGACATTGTGGACAACCATATCCTACTATATTGGACAAATTTTTTTAGTTATTATAGAAAAAGCCCCGTGCATGCCACCTTCCCCTTTTCCCCCCTTTATAATTGGATTTTAGGATGATACATTCATTCTTTCTTCCATAAGGGGGAAAAAATTCTTTAAACTCATAGTCTGTAGAATATACAAAATCTTTCTTATCGAATAGATATTTTACATAGAAAAAATAATGTGCCTTTTTTATAACCAGGTATTCCTCTTGTGTCATGTAACTATTAATTAGTTTAAGTAAGAAAGAGAGAAATTAAATATTCATAATAAGACATAATAAGTGACTCAAAGGAGAGTGACATTTCAATGTAGGAGCTCTGAAATTTAGAGTCCTTGACATCAGCAAAAACGAACTCTTATCCCCATTTCAGGGAAAACCTATCTACCCTGAATAAATGTCTCTTAAATAAGATACATATATAAATGGCAACCTACTCAAGCCTTCTCACTACCCTTGGTACATGCATCCCTGTTACATGCATCACTAGGGATTATATTATATATTAATGAAAAAGAAAAAAGTCAAGCAGGGATGTAGGAGAGCAAAGGGTCTCTCCCTCTATATCTCATATATATGTTTAAAATTAATACATTGCACATTGATTAATTCTTTTTATTACATGCATTTTGATTGTTTATCACTCATCAATACCTTCATTTTCAGTTCAATGTATTTCGTTGTACATACTGATTATATATTATGAGGCCTGTTGAAGGCTCCACTTGTGTATTATTATAAAGTTTAATTTGTTATCTTGACTAGTACTCTCATATCTCCATTCCCTTCCGTTTATACTTTTCAGTGCATATACATATAATTAACATGGAATAGATAAATAAAGAAAATAATGAAGACTATATTGATGGAAACCTTACATGGCATGATCTCACCTAGAGAGAAACGATAAGGATTGAGAGATTTGGATCCTCTCCAGTTAATACATAATTGGAGAGTATCTGAATCCAACTAACTATTTTCTTTATCTTACATTTTCATCATGGCAATGACATGAGCTAAGGCCCTAAATTTCATAAAAAAATAATTTAGTTTCTATCATTCATTGGGAGATTGCCTCAGGGAAAATTTTACTTGACAATCGTCGGCCCTTATAATACGGGTTAAGATTTGTATCCAGATAACTAGGTGATCATTAATTTTGAGAAGGCTCAATGACAATGTAATTAGTGAAACTGATTTCAATATAATATGAAGGCAAAAGTATATATAGCATAAGACCAACATACTCCCTCCTTCCCATCCCCCAATTTGTGTACTCTGTTCTACCCAACATGTCTCTTTTATTTATGTCATTCCTCAAAAGAGCTCCCATACCCATGCATACATTTGCTTTTTGGCTTACTTCTTTTAGCAACATTCAAAATAAAGCACAAAGTATTTGCGCTCTATCTTGCAACGCCCCTTTCTCTCTCATACACAAACATATGAGAGAGGGAGGGAGGGGGAAAGGGAAAGGGGGAAAAAGCAAGTGAAATAAATACGAAAACGGAGGTGGTCTTTTTGTGCGTGTCCTTGTCATAGCCAAATTCTGGCAATGTTTTGTTTTCTAAATGGTAACCCTTGGCTACAGGTACTCTCCCGTCAATTTGGTCCTCAGTGGTGTGTACCATTGGAGTCATTATTGTAGGTTCCATGAAGGGTCAGGGCCAAGGAGGAATGATGTGGATTTAAAATAGGCTTCGGGTTATGGTGCTATGATTGTGTGGGTCAAAGAGGTCCAAATTGGTTCTTGGCTTTTTTTCTTTTTCCCCCCCTCCTTTTAGTGAATTTTTTTTTTTGAATGGTCCCCAAAATCACGTTTGTTTGGAAACGGGTCACTTTTAGAAAAACGAATCGGAAGGTGGAGAGCCGTAAATAATTATGTTTACCTCCGAAATCACTTCTTGCTCATCATGCAATATATCAAGTGTGACAGGGCACAGTACTGCTCCATTTCCAACGGCACAGGGGTATCTTTCTTCGCTCTGAGCAACCTCGCCGAATGCTTTTTCTCTTGAGCCTAGCTAACGTACCGTACACGAGGAGGAGTGGGATTCTAATCGGGTCCTTGCCTCCTTGGTCATGTTAATTTGCAATGAACAAATGCTAATCACTTAGCCACACGCGCCCATGGGGTTCACACGCACGGTGGCAGCGACACGTGTTACCTCAGGGAGCAGGTGTCGCTGCCAGAGCGCTTGACGGTACGCGCGTGAGCCCCACATGCACCTGTGGCTGAACCCCCACTACTTGTAGCATGTCATGTCAGGTCAGATAACTGCTAATTCGGAGTATGCATACACCAATATATCTATTTGTTATATATATATATATATATATACATGTCTTTGTGCTAAGAAACTGTATCAGGAAGAGTTTTCACCTTTTTAGAATATGAAGACAATCCTAAATTCTCATAGGAGCTTTAGAGTTTTGATGTAGTGATAAACATCTTTAAAATGTTATCAGGACAATCAAAATCTAAATCTAATACATATAGTTTCGTGGGTCCAAAATTTTACCCATTGAAAATACTCAAATAAAGAGTTGTCATCAGACTTCACCTACGTATAAAGCTTATAGAATTTGGTTAGGTAAGCATGCAAGCACTCCATAAATTATCTGCGGTACGAAATTGTACAATACATAAGATCAAATCTAGCTTTCTACATCATTATAGCTTGAAAAAATGATAACAAGGCCCGTGTGTGTGAATTGTCATAATGCCCAATAAGAATAAAAAAGATTCCTCTACGAATACCTCTTCTAAGTTGGAATAATTACAAATTCCATGATGAGATTAGAAACAGGGGTGCTGATGAATAAAGTGAAGCCCTCTCCCTGCCTTGTGGCGTACAAAGATTTAGGCCTTCGTCTTGGTCACAGTCAATAATTAGAGGATGAAAGCAATGTAAGAGAAAAAAGGGGACTAAATCTAATGATGAAATGTTTTGAAAGACGAGGATTTTAAGTTGGAGACCGTTTGGGGTCTGGGAAGCTAAAGTGGGTTCCCTTTAGAGATCATATTCATTTCTAAGGTCTACAACTCTCTCTCTCTCTCTCTCTCTCTCTCTCTCTCTCTCTCTCTCTCTCTTCTCTCTCTCTCTCTCTCTCTCTCTCTCTCTCTCTCTCTCTCTCTCTCTCTTATGCATGATTAAATACTGTATATTTGTAGGCTAGAGCATCACTCTCTCTCTCTCTAAGTGGTATATATTACCTCTGGGTGTGTGCAGTTGTTACAAAATGGTAGAATAAATTGAGAATTGGACTCTCCCCCCCTCTCTCTCTCTCATGGAAGAACAACAACAGCTCAATCCTCTAGCAGTGACTCACCTCCTCCAACACACTTTGAGGAGCCTATGCAATGTTCACGAAAGCTCTCAATGGGTGTATGCTGTGTTTTGGAGGATTTTGCCACGCAACTACCCGCCACCTAAGTATGAGAAATATATATATATATGTACATATATATAACAATTTTACCAAATTTCTCTTTTCTATAAATTTCGATATCAAGTTAATTGGCCCTTTGTGTAATTTGTTTGCAGATGGGATCTCCAAGGAGGGATGTACGACAGAGCTAGAGGCAACAGAAGAAATTGGTACACTACTACTATTACTCTACTATATCTATACAACTAGTTGATTATTGAGATTATAAATCAAGTTAATTAATTGATTTTGTGATGTTTTTCTTTTCATTTATTTTATTTTTGAGCAGGATATTGGTATGGGAAGATGGATTCTGCAACTTTGCAGCATCCTCCGGCTGTGACCAGGCGGCGGCGCTGGCAGCAGCAGCGATCGAGCCGGGATCAGCATCCTCCGGCTGTGACCAGGCGGCGGCGCTGGCAGCAGCAGCGATCGAGCCGGGATCATCGGGCTGCGGTGAAGCCCAGCTTGTTAAGGGGCTTCAACCTGAGCTCTTCTTCAAGATGTCCCACGAAATTTACAATTTTGGAGAGGGGTATCCTTAATTATTTATGTATTCTGATCTATATGTGATAGCTAGCAAAATTTTTTGAAGTGATTTGAATTAGTTTGTGTTTTGCTTGTGTTTAGCAGTTTGATCGGAAAAGTTGCAGCAGATCACAGCCACAAGTGGGTGTCCAAGGAGCCTCAAGAACAAGAGATCAATTTCTTGTCTACGTGGAATAATCATGTAGATTCTGTAAGCGGACTGGCCTAATTAATTAAGTCTAACAACACTCCCTTAATTAACTAATTATTCTAGTTGTATTTCGCGTCAAGCATCAAATTAATGTATGTTTTATTTATGATTACATTGGAATATGAAAGAAGTATCTTTGTTTCAGCACCCAAGGACATGGGAGGCTCAGTTCCGCTCTGGCATCAAGGTTCAATATTCTAACCCCACATAAATATATATATATTTTGCTCTACACATACGTAATTATTTATTCGTCCCTCTCCTTTTTATGAGCGAAATGCTACATAAATACTATGTGCAATATGCATTCTCATTTGACCTTATACCTGTAACATTTATTTATCTCCATAAGTTTAATTGCTATCATATCACTACTATATATATATATATGATCTATCTCTAATTTTGCTTATAATTCATTAGTGGATTTCTTAATTTATGTAGACTATTGCTCTCGTTGCGGTCAGAGAAGGTGTTGTTCAACTTGGATCTCTCAACAAGGTCTCTCTCACACCATCACAAAAGAAAAAAAAAAGCCACACGTTCATGAACAAAAACCACACGTCACCAGTGATTGAGCTGGCTCCACGCAACGCGAGTGCAATTACTACTGCGCCCTCTCCAAGTTAGACAGACCCTGCACTTGCTCACATCATTGATGCATGTGTTTGGTCTATATACCGCGAGGTAGCCCGAAACTTGAACTACGTAGTCCTCCTCCGCAGAAAAATTCGCCTACCTCGAAAGCATCCCCGGCGGTCCTCCTCCCCCACCCCTCCTTCCTGCCGGCGTCCCATGTCGGTCGTCCCGACGCCAAGTAGACCGCCTGGCCCGCCCCTCCCTACCCGGCCCCGCTCCCTCCTGGCTCCACCCCAGCAATGGAGTTCTTACGACCAGTTTCCTGAGGCAGCAGCCATCAGATGAGGGATCACTCCGTCGATCAGCCGCGCCCTGAAAGCCCTCCTGTCCACGCTCCCTCCGTCGGGCCAGTCGCCAGACGGGTACTGCCGATATGGCCGATGCCCGTGGCGGCGGTGAATCAGCGCCACATGGCGGGGGCGGCGAAGGAGGAGATGGAGGAGGAGGAGGAGGAGTATGGGAGTAGCAGCTCAATGTCGTACTATGCTAATCATGTGGGTAAGGCTGAGCATCATCGTCGACATGAGTTTTAAGGGTGCTATTTTAGCTAGTGTGCACGTGCGATCGATATGAGAGCGTGTATGTTCACTTCTCTACTTGATTAATTATGCGTGGGAGGTTTATTAGCTTCTTCTTTTGCTATTAACCAATATTTTTAAGGCGCACTAGCCACTCATATATATATATATATTGAACAGTTTTAATTGTGGATTAACAGGGTTGGGTATCTCCATAAGAACTCTTAAGTGTGATCTACGAACGCATATTTGAGTTCTAATCACTCACGCATCAAGGGGTTCAAACGCTTCTACGGCGCAATTAATTAAGTTGAAACAGTACCGTTGTGAAAAATCAATAAGAAGTCTTGAAACAACAAGTTTTCTATCAAATAGAGGGAACACCCATGAAGTGGTGTCAAGTCGATGCTTATTTAGTTGTATTTGTCAGAGAAAACGTAAAACTTTTTAATCAAATAAACGCAAATACAACGCATTCTCAATTTAGATGACTTCTCGGTAACAGGATAATTTTATTACTAACGTATCTCTTAGCAAGTTCATTTGGAGAAATACGCTACCAATCTCTTCACTTTTTCCATACATCATTTGTTAGCTTATTTAACAAGTTAAAACACCCAAATTTGAGGGAAAGAAGAAAGATGAAGGCCATGGGAAAATTAAGGCATTCTCTATGTAGAGTCTCTCTACTCCACCACACCTTAATCTTTCACCGCAAATCCCCTAATTGGAAAAAAAAAAATCATAAAAGACGCTAAAGATACATGCAACATATTAATTGTTGTCATTTGTATCTGTCCTTCTATTTCTTCTTTCTTGACCTTAGGGAAAACGCAGCATATATAGGATGGTAGAACTTCCAACCTAGATCTCTTGCAAGAGTACGCGAAGTTTCACCGGTATGGCACGATAACATGCCTGTCATACCTAAATATATGATCTACGACAGCAGTCCAGAGTCAAGGAGTCGCGCCTAAATACATCTCGATCCTCCGAAACTAAAACTATTTCCACCTAGCTTCCGCAACCCCAACAATATAAGCTCCACAAGGCCAACTATTCACACGATGCAAAACGCAAAGTCCTAGCTCACTACACCAAACGAAAACAATAGCATTCATTCCGTCCCTTCGAAGTTTTGAGCTGGCCAGGACGTATTCATATACCCTCAACCCTACGCGCTCCAGATAGTATGCCTATGATTTACTACTAGACTAATTAGCCTTCAAAATTTTCACCAACGCGTAAGTATGCACTTTAACTAGAGGCGTCCGTGTGAATATTTAGTATCCATGTTCATGAGCTTGATTGACCACCAATTTAATTACCCTCTTTTACAATCCGTTTCACGACAAAACCTTGAGTGTCTCGTTGATTTTTCCCAACGCATGCTTTTGCTTTGACATTGGTAAGTATGTGAACCACAGTTCGTGGCAGCTGACAACTTGTAATCTGTCCTCACGCCTCATGTCATGAGCATTCAACTCCTCATCCTTCACATATAACTAATCTTTGATGGCAGTATCACGCTAAAGAGCTTATGACAGCAGGCTTCTGCAACATTATTTGATTTCATGCCTGCCGGTAAATCCTTCAGCTATTAGCATACTTAATGCATCCATGATTCTGTACATGAACACAGGGAAAGAAAAATTAGGTAACTGTTTATCATCGAGAAGCATGTTCTATGGTACCATTGACCATGTTCGATCACTTGAGATCAGCGACAGCTTCATAAATTCTTCAGGTTGCATTTTAGCAACAGTAGAGTTTTATAACTGCAGAAAAACAATGTCCAGATGGCGGAGTACAAATCCTATCAGAACGCCCAGCACAGTGCGGGGGGCATTCTGATATAAGCAGAGAGATGATTTCTTTTTCTTTTTAGAGCAGTTTCCCTTATAAATAAAGCTTTTGCTTTCGTGAAAGGATAGAAGTTTATGAGACAAAAATACAGAGAATGGTGCAAAGATGCATGTTAATGAGAGGCGTAGTGTAGCCTTAGCATTAACCAAAATCCTGGAATAGACATGCACAAAGAAAATCCTGCGTACAGAAATTGTCATTGGCAATTATTTTCCACTATATGCACGCAACGGAAAAGAGTCTGCAGGAGCAACCATTTCATCGTTGCAGAATATAAGAAACGAATAGAAACAACATTACAGATGATACTAATAATCTATTAAGAGAACTCTCAAACTTCAAAATGAACAGCACATGACATTTTCCGGTGTTGTTCTCACAAATGGTGCTCGCAGTCTATATGACCAAACATTCATTTCAGACAATGCGAACATAAATCGGTTCAAGGGCAACAGCCAGTAGAATGAATATAAACAGAACGTGACACCAATTGAGATTTGAGAGAGTCAAACATCAGATAAACCCAAAATTTTTGAAGCGGATACCAGCAAAGACTGCTTGGCGATGTTTATTAGAGGACTGATGCTTCATACATACCACTTGAATTAATTGGGGCCCGAACTACATGGAGAAGAGAATCCTGAAAGTTGTCAGCATGACGGCACCTTCCCTGAAATACACCTACAGCCAGTTCTGTTACCATCAAAGATACTTTGACCAAAAGGACTGGCTGCTATTAACCAAAAACCTATGTCAGTAACTGGATAAAGGAATATTATGCGATATGGTTTTCTTTCTCATCTGAGGCCTTCCTCAATGGAACAGGGGGCCTTGGAGGTGCTATCCCTCGGCTATCTTTGTTACTGGCCACAGATTCCTCTGACCCAATGGAATTCCTATCTCCAAAAGGAGGATTTTGTTCCAAGTGTGTAGAATCCATTGCTCGAGGTAACCTCAAAGGGACATCTTCTCTGGTCCTCGGAGCTTCATTGTGCTGAACTGAGGCTACAACCTGTGGCTCTGCAGTTGGAACAAGTTGAATGGCTGACTTGCGCCAATTCTTCCTCCGAGGCTTAGGTGCATTCGGTTTTTTCTAAGCAACAATAACATTTGAAGCAAGTCAACAATGACGTAAAATAGGAGAAAATGGACGATTCTAAATGAAATATAAATAAACAACTGCACGTGCACATATGACTTATATCTTGGCTTGGTAATAATTCCAAACCACGTGCAACTCTTTTTAAAGCGTATCATAGCTCAGCTAACTGAGAATTTGTAACTTCATCTTTCATACTCCATATGAATAAAAACAAAATGAGAGAGTACTCATGATAAAGGAAAAAACATGATCCTGCGGAGGACATGAAGATGCTGGTAAATTCAAAAGGATTGTCACAACACAATTGCTAAACTCATATGGGAAGCTCATCCAGATCATGTATATGGCATATAACAGTGTTAAGTAGAATCTAATGTTAATCCATTAAACATGTCAAAACTAAAACATGCATATTTATTCATTTGGACTGGAGGAGAATTCATGTTGCTACTAATTGCTGCAGGTTCATAATTTGCATTTGAGTAGATAGAACAAAAGGCAGCCAACTAATAGTTCAAGAAAAAATATTATATACTTAGCACCCAGAAAACAAATGCCCGGTCATTACCCAGAATGGTTGCTGTAAATTCTACACGGATATTACCGAGCTATATTTAATGAGCAAGCCATTTTGGTTGGCTAACATATTATGAATCGTTAAATCAGGAGGATATCCATATTCACAATCATATTTATGAAAATCTTTCAGAAGAATTTCGTGTGCTTGTTAAACATAATGCAACATAAATCTTACCACAGTATTCCCAATATCAGATAAAGGTTTCCTTCGATGCGCAATATTGTTATGTTCATCTTCATTTATCACAGTAGGCCTCTCACTCAATGCATTCTGAAGCAGCATCGTGCCTTGAGAGATAAGTTCTTTATTCTTCACATCTTCATCATTATCAAAAGAAGAACTGCTCCCACCCCCTTCTGACAACTCAGTATCATCTGTCATCTTGTTAATAAATCCACCTTCTCTATTTGCACACTTCGAAGATACACATCCACAAGAAGAACCACAAACACCACCTGCAGCCCGGCACTGACACTTCTTTGTTTTGCAAGATGAAAGCCTAGAACAAGAACAACACACTTCGGAATTGTTCCTTGTAACATTAGACTCATCTTCAACATTCGGTGTTTCCATTTTCAAAATTTTAGGTTCTTGATGAACTTCTGCATTGGACTTCACAAAGGGAGTTATCGATTTTGATCTTCGCTTTGCAAATTTCTTCGCAGACTCTACCCAGTCCTCATCATCTTCATCATCCACATCCTCCGACTGATCTGAATCCGAGGTGTCCATATCATCTACCCACTCTACATCATTTCTAACTTGATTGAAGGATTGGGAGGTTCTTGGAGCCTGTGAATTAATCAAGACCATAATAAAAATAAAAGAAAAAGATGAGAATGCAATAATAAAATTTATCTTCAAAAATATTCTCAAAAAATTTATCTTCAAAAAAGATCTATTGACAGAGTTCATCACAAAGTACATGATTCACAATGACGAGTATAACATAAAAAAGCAGAAAATGTTGTCTAACAGGAATGGAAAGTAAGAATGTGATACATTTAGTGTCTTGAAAATCCAATGGAATCACAAAAACACACTCAACTTGTTAAGCGAGCCTGTGAATTAATCAAGACCATAATAAAAATAAAAGAAAAAGATGAGAATGCAATAATAAAATTTATCTTCAAAAATATTCTCAAAAAATTTATCTTCAAAAAAGATCTATTGACAGAGTTCATCACAAAGTACATGATTCACAATGACGAGTATAACATAAAAAAGCAGAAAATGTTGTCTAACAGGAATGGAAAGTAAGAATGTGATACATTTAGTGTCTTGAAAATCCAATGGAATCACAAAAACACACTCAACTTGTTAAGCAAGATACGAGCTTAATTCTTGAACTTCTACCAAACACGGTTGTGCAATGTTCTTGAAATATGTGGGAAAATAATCAAAATGTATCAAATGAGACATAATCATATAAATTACTAAATAATCTTTTAAGCATCATGGACATCATGCATGGACTACAAAATAGTTCAGTTGAATTTACGGAACAGCAAGATCCACCAACCTTGCACAATGCATTTGAATGACGATCATCAGTAGTGCTTGAAATCGTGGCCAAACTTCCAGCATCCTCTATAAATTTCTTAGAAGCTAGTCTCTGTGCATAATGAATAGGTAAGAAAACAGCCTACATAAACATGACATTAGTAATCATTGTAAATGACTAAGAAATGAAAGGTAACTCTTAGCTGAAGTTACAGAGACTAATACTGCCAAATCAGAGTTGCAACAGATAGGTGTTATCAACTTATCTTCGAACTGTGGCTATGGTAACATGGTAAAGTTGACATCAAGACCTAAACCATAAAGGGCATTTTATGCGGATTGGATTTCCAAAACATGATTGTACAACAATTTGCTTACAATATTGAAATGACACATTTTGGAGACTATATAAACAGCACCTTTTCGCACTTAACAAAAAAATCACTGTACTGGGACAATAAAAAGAAGTAGCTGACCTTCAATTCCTGATCTCTTTCTGCTAGTTTGGCTTCCAACTGCCTAAGGGAACCATTAAGTCTGACCACCTTCTCCTTCAACTCGCTAATAAAGGAGTCTTTTTCTCTACAAGTTACCTCCTTATCTCGCAACTGACACCTAGTATAAAAATGAAGAGCACATCCTTATAAGATTTCAGTACTTGGAAGAACAAGCTGTCAGCTCTATTTCATAATTCTATATCGCCATGCATGACAACTATGAACAAAAATTAGTCTTTCTTATCAACAATTATTAATAGATAAATCAGTATTTGCATCTCTAATTTAATATAACAAAGAAAGCATTTATACATGATCATATTAACAAAACATATCCCGAACTATTGTTTACAAATATAAACGAGTACATTTTAAGAAAGATCAGCAAATGATAAAACATATGAATGGTGTTTCCTTCCATGTTTATGACTTTTCAAGATAAAGACCGATCAAAAGAAATGTGCAGTAAATATTAATACCAAAAGTTTACATGCAGGAGAGATTTAACAAGAAATAACTAAGACTACATAGAAATATGAACTTTAGCTGTCAGAAAATGTTCACATTGGTCACTACCTTGAAGAGGAAGCTAGGTTGAACAAATAATTCATCAAATTTTTTGCTTCTACAATTGAACGGACTTGATTCCAACGACCACGCCCACCAAATACACGCTCACGCTCCTCAGCTTCTGATAATTGTGATGCCATAGATACAAGGGAACTAGATGAAGTAGCCAGCATATTTTCCAAGGCAACAATTCTTGAATTTCTCGCACTTGGAGACATAGCTTGAGGAGTGTCACTGTAACAGAGGCATAAAATTGGATGAAGTAATAAAAACTTAAGTGCATAGAATTTTTATGATTAAATGGGAGGAATTGAAAGATGAAGTACCAACCTCATAACCTTCTGCTTAAATGTTTCTGATTCTTCCTTCAGTTTTGCAACCTCCTTAGCCATTTTAGCCCTCCTAATCACACAAACAGAAACAAGCATCGAAACTCAATCATGGTGCCAGGCATATCAATGAAAAGTTGAAAAGATAAACTATTACTAGCTAGTTGTTCAGATTCTTTAGGATTCAAGTGGGGAACTATAAAAGTCCGATGAAGTCCGTTGGCTTATATAGAATTATGATAGCGAATTTCAATTATATAGAAATATAATATAATAAACAATCAGTAAGGATCAAGAGGAAAATCAACATCAGAAATAGACCAAACATTACTAGCAAACCCGACGGTATCCTATCAAAATTATCATATTCTGCGATAGTGGCAACATTTTTATCTTCCAATGAGATCCTATGAGCATAAACACGTCAAAAGGGATGTTTCAAATAAAACATTAACAAATTCAAGTTGTTTCCCAGAAACTCCATGAGTTAGTTTCCCCAAGCAGAATAATGAAACATATTTTGTAGAACCTTGATGTACAGAAACATTCGAAGAAGGTACAATAATTAGGAGAAAGTGGCAGGGCATTAGGAATTTGATATTTTCACAACTTTGTACTGAAAAAAAATCATGATTTCAAGGAGCCTTACTCTTGCAATTGACGCTCATACTCTGAACGCACTTCATGCACTCGCAATGTAACTTCAAGTTCATGCTCAATGGCTTGCATCAGAGCCTTAAAAAGGATAAACACTAGATTAGACAACAATCATGTGTGAATAAGTTAAAGGGCATATATAACTTGAAAGTTGGTTTACACTACCTGAATTCCAGGACCATTTGCGTTTCCAGAACCTAAAAAATGTCAATAACATATAAATCAAATTTGGGAAAGACAAAAATCATTAATTAGAAGAAGGAATTCTTCCTTTCTTACCAAACATTTCACGAGATGAACTTCTCTTTGCTTCTAACAACTCCTTCAGCCTTTTGGTAGCCAATGTAGCTTCTTCGGTTTTCCGCTGCAAAACCTTGAGAGACCAAAGACGAAAGCATAAATTCAAATTGCATGAAACTGTGAAGGAAAAAATGAAAGGAGAAAACGGTCCTACCATCTTCTGCCTCTGGTTCAAAGCCAACAGCTTATGCATCTCATACTCATTTCTCCGTCCCTCTTTCTTAAGCTGTTACAAGACATAACATACTTAAAAAACTGCAAAACTTTTGGCATACCAGCAATCAGTCAAGAACAAAAGATCATTCAGGAAAATTTTTGTAACTTGTCACAAAGCTGTAATGGATTCTACATCCATCACAAACAAGAATAAAAATCTGAAAATGTCAAATGCAAGAAGAACAATTTTTCTGATTTATTATCAACACTAAAAAAGGCGATTAATAGCATAACTATTGGTCAACTGATTTAATAAGAAAAAAAGGACTGATGAGCTTTATAAATGAACAATTTTTTCACTGCTTAGTCAAATGACCTGTTCACAAACTCCTTCTTTTCTAGTAAGCTGAAATTTACTCTAGATCCTTTCTCCTAGGAATAACCAGATGTTCCGTTCAAACTTATCGCTTAGGCGTTGATAGGTTGGGCTTACCCATAAGTTGACATGAATTGGCCGAGATAATGATTTAGTAGAGACACCCATAGTTTAAAATCAAAAGGTATCACTGATTGAAAGGTAACATACGTAAGACATTGCTTATACATCTCACGATTCTTACCTAGTTTTCTTATGGATGGTGCAAGGATAAGTCTTATTCTATTAATTTGGATGTTTCTCTAGTAAGCTGAAATTTACTCTAGATCCTTTCTCCTAGGAATAACCAGATGTTCCGTTCAAACTTATCGCTTAGGCGTTGATAGGTTGGGCTTACCCATAAGTTGACATGAATTGGCCGAGATAATGATTTAGTAGAGACCCCCATAGTTTAAAATCAAAAGGTATCACTGATTGAAAGGTAACATATGTAAGACATTGCTTATACATCTCACGATTCTTACGTAGTTTTCTTATGGATGGTGCAAGGATAAGTCTTATTTTATTAATTTGGATGTGACACCTCAAAAAATCCTGTAAACAATCAACAACCAAGTGTAATTCTAAAGTTAAGTCTAATCTTACAGTTCTCAACTTTTTGAACCTACTCCTTTCCTTCATCTTTTGTGAACTTACAGGCTTGAATATGCATTCAAATTGTTTCTCACACTTCATAACCACTAATATATTACAAGGTTACAAAATTCAAGTTTTCCCTCATATGTCACCAACACTTGAAGCTCAAATTACTCCATTGCCTCATGCTTCCCGGTATCTGCATGTCCATCTTGGCATTCTAATATCTTAGAGAATTTGACATATTGAAGCGACTATCTCAGTTCGTAAAACTCCATTTGTAAAGTATATGTATCAATACTTGCACCTCACCTGACTATTACTTCTCATTTATACATCCAGGTCCCTCACGTCCATCTTACATTTTAAGGTTTCACTGTAATGATGTTTCCTTAAGGATTCTTTTAGCACAGCATAGTTTACCAAATAATAATGCAGGCCTCATCAAATTTATAAAATATCATACATGAAAGTATTTGTCAATCACCAGTCACATGATAAGAATCTTCAGCACATACTCTAGCTACTTTAAGCATGTAATTCCTCTAGTTCTTAGTTCCATATATAAAAGTATAAAACCTGTCATATTGTTCTATCTATAAATATTAATGCCCAGGTATTGAAACAGAAGTCGCAAGTACCTTAAGTTTTTTTTACTTCACCACTCTTTCATCCAGCTAATTTAATACTGAAGTTTAATAGTCTAATCAATCAACAATATGCAAAAAAAAAAATTGACAATAGTACATTTTCTTAGGGTTGGGCGTGGGCCGGGTCGAACCGCGGGCTGACCCGGCACAGCCTACCATGGATCATGACCCAACTAGGCCCGTAGTGGGCCGGGCCCGACCTGATTCGTGATATACCGGGTCACGAGCCAGGCTAGGTCCAGCCCTAGAAGCCCTAGACGATCATAGAAATAAGCCAAACCCACCAGTGACCCGGCCCACCATTGACCTAGCCCAGCCCAACCCGATCACCATTGATCCGTCTTAAGGCAGAAGAACGGTCACAAAGACAGCAAACAAGACATTTCCTTGAAGAATTTGATGAATATAACTTTGAGGAATTTGGCTCCTTGAACATTAATGGTTAACATATATTTTTTTCTTTTTTCCTCTTGTATTTGTAATTTAAATTTAAACCAAAGGAAAGTTATTAATTTCCCGTGGATATAGGTTTTCCTTCAAAGTCCGAACCACGTATATCTTTGTGCTTGTGATGTTTTTTTATGTGATGTTTATGTTTGTACAATGTGTACATATATCATTTCAAATAAAGAGTGAAACAGAAAAAATAATTTAAATATAATTTATTAGATACGAATACAAAGTTAATATAGTTTAGAAATTAGAAATAAAAAATTAGGAAATTTAAAAAAAAAACCTCAGGCAGCCCTACGACCCATTGGTCGTGGGCCGGGTCCGACCCGGCCTCCCCTAGCCAGGTCGTGGGCCTGAAAGGGTCCAATCCCAGATTAAGGTTCAGAGAAGTAAACTCGACCCACTTTGACCCGGGCGGGCCCAGGTAAGACTCAGCCCGACCTTGAACTGGTGTACAGACCTGAACCGGCCCGACCCATACCCACCCTACCTTTTCTTGACAATTAGGCTATTTTTAATAAGTGTCGTCTATAATAAATAAGAGATCACTAATGAAAACCAAACCATTAATAACAAGCATGGGACAGATCTTAGCTAAAGGCACAATAATTAATTAAGAAATATCTTCTAAGATCCAGAGATACGCAAGCACAAATGGTAAGAACACGAAACATTATATTATCACTTCCATAATTAAAATGCCTAAGAAAGAATATATGTTGTTATTACAATCTAGTTTTCCCAAATTTTGCATTTTACTCAACCTGAAAAGAGTACAAGCAAGTACTTAATTGACATTATAGTCATCATCCTCGTAGTAATATCATGGTTGTTACCATTAACAATTTTATTTAAAAAATTAGATCAGTTGTAGACCAAGATTTGAAAACATGTCTCCAAATTCTATTTTAACATTATATGAAACTTAGCATATTAGAAAAATTTTATTTTTCCATAGTATTATATGCAACGGCGGAGCAAGGATTTTTGGCAAGGGGGTCCAACATAATTAATAATTAAACACAATAATAAAATTTTTTGCATAATTAATTGGTATGTAAACATCATCACATCACAAGTTTGTTCTAGTTTTATTCCTATAATTATTTAATATGTGATTTTTCGCTAGTAATGTTGAAATGTTCCTAATAGAGTCATCTGTTTCATACACTTATTAAATTGGGTTTTTCTTGGAAACCACCTTCAGAATAGAGTAATTATACGAAAACCATCTTTCAATTTTAATTTATACATAAACCACCTTTAAAGTGGGGTTTTGTTGTAATCAACCACCTCTTAGTCAAAATTTTCACTATAAAGCCAAAATTACCCTTTAAAAACTTACACTCAAGGCACATGACTCATTTTTTTGGTGTTTAGTTCTTGTTAGGATACAACTCTCGTATCTTGAACATGAACTTTCAAGCTTATTTTTGGGTTTTTTTTAGTTAAGATTTAACTGGGAGACGGTTGATTGCAATAAAAACCTACGTCAAATGTGGTTTACGTATAAATTGAAATTTAAAGGTGTGTATAGCTACCCTATTTTTAAGATGGTTTTTAGGGGGAAAACTCTACTAAATTTAAACAATAACGCCTTTATCTTTAAAGTGTTGACCAAGTAAAATTGAACCTATCATGGGCTACAGTAACAAAAAGAAGAGCCAAATTTCTCAAAAAGATGTAAAATTTAACTTGTCAACAATCAAATTAAAGGATAAATAATGCATTGATCTCTCACAATCATCTCCTATAGCCCCTGCTTTTACTGTCACTTACAAAAAGCAACAACAATACTAGTTACAGTTTAAACGAATAATAATTTCACAAACTACCACAGAAGAGTGTATATTTTGTATCTAGCTTTTTTACTTTTGCTTTTATAATGTGGAGGGTTAGTCATTTTGAAAATGAGTAATGAGGTCATCTTCAGGCGGCCTTCATGTTACTCGCACTTACAAACTTCAATATGCCCTACCAGCACCCCAGATTAGTTCCAGTCAATAAAGCTGACAATTTTTCAGATACCAGAATTACAGTTTTAGGTCCAAAAAAACAAGAGATGTAAACCTTTTCTAAAATACAGAAAAATAACTAACACTATACTGAGGCAAAAGAAGAAAATATGAAGCTAAGTATCACAGTCATTTCTTTCCTGGCCATACTCATTCTACTTAGAACTTTTAGGAAATATGAAAAATCCATAATATTCATTAACACATATCTATACTATCCACCTGCAAGAAGATAAAGGACTTGTACATGGAAATGATGACTTCTGCTTAAGTCTTTGACGTATTTCATAACAGTTTATACAAGCTACAGAAGATTAACGTAATGTAGATGTTCGCTTTTATAGATAATTTAAAGCATCGAAAGTTTGGAGAGAAACTTGAACATTCATACTAATTTGGAGAGTGTATAAAACTTGTATAGTCATAAAATGTAGCTGGATTTTGAAAGCTAAGAGATCTCGACAAAATTATAACGGCTTCATCCACAAGCATAAAAGAAATCCCCCACGATAACATAAAAAAGTAACAAATCAGTTACTCTAAGTCTCTAACTCTCAGCTTTGAACCCAACAAAAAAAACTCTCAGTACCTGCAGAACTTCCTTTTCTCGTGAAGCTTTCCATGACCTGAATTGCTCAGATTCTTGCTTAATTTTATGCTGCAATTGAACCTAAAAATATACCTCAAACATATAAATAAAAGACCCGGTATAATTTTCCTAATTGGAATGAATGTCACTGAAAGAGAAAAATACCTTCTGAGATTTAATTCTCTGGATTTCTTCCTGTAAGCGTTTAGCTGCATCATCACTCTTCTGTTTTTGCCTCAGTAACTGTGACTGAGTTTCCTGCTTCTTTTTCAACTCAGAAACCTGAAATAAGAAAGTTCTAAACTTTAGGATAAAAAATGTGAAGCACTAGAGGAATTACTTCTGACGCACACCTGTGCTTCAAGCATGTTCAACTTCTGAAGATAATCTTCCTTCAGCTTTTGTGCACCGCCATCAGACGCAGATGATATGTTGGATAACTTCGAGTGAAGATCCTCAATCTCTTTCTGCAGAATATATAACCTCAACATATGGATGCATCACATTTCTACATTGAAAACTTGAAGAAACAAACCTGTAAAACTTTCTTTTCATGTTCCAGTTCCAATAACTTCCTCTCATAGTGTTGCTTCAGTACAGATGTATCAACCTTCGCAAACCTTTTCATTTCAGCCTTCAATTGTAAACGAAATTACAGTCAAAACTTGAATGAAAGTAAATTAAGAGAAAGTTAGCAGCAGCGAGACAAAAAGTGGTATATATGATATATGCGAAGCACCCGACTCCCTTTTCAGGTCATGTGTACAGAGAGTATCAGAAACAAGAAAAAGATGTCTACAGCAGCTTATGATTTATGTTTTACTCATACAAATATAAATAACCCTGCGCAATAGCATTTACACATAGAACTTTCAGGGATGAGAATGAGTTTCTAAATGTTATCTTTCAATTTTAAAATAACATAGATAAGCCCCATGTTTTCACATTTTAATTCTAGAACTTAAGCAACTCTACATTAACATCTCTTCAACTCTGTGTTTGAATCATTTGCACCGTGTAGTCTGAATCAAATGACATCCATACTAGAGAGTGCATAGGGTAAATGGTCAACAACGCAAAAGGTTGTTAGGGACATCAAAGGACATCAATCCGCATAACACAATAATACCACTTGTAGGAGCTAGGTATGCAACAATTATAGAAGATAAAAGTACGAACAACCACACTATCTATATCCTGTCAAGAAAGACTAATGGATTGGAACGCCAAATTCCTTGTACCTCTTTCTGTTCAAGCCGTTTATCCAATTCCTGAAGCTCTTTATCCAACCTAACCTGGATAGAGGAATGTTCTCTTTCCTTTTCATCTTCTTCAGCCTCACCTGCAAAAATTGTAACAAGTTTTCTTTATACGTCCAGATATAACTGAGGAATAGGCATATCTATGGACATCAGCTTCAAAACATTTTTTTAGCAAGCGTATTGTTGGTCGTAAGAAGACCACAACTTCTGAATTCAGATAGCAGTGAAATAATAAGTACATGGAATTCTCATTACTATTGAAACTATTTGGTATTTCCAAGTCGACGAGCATGAGCATTCAAAAACTTACTCGACTCATCTAATGTGTTGCCATCCGAACTGAATCCTAAATCATCCAAATTTGATGGAAATAGATCTTTATCCAAAACCTGGCAATCAGTATCAGCTTTTGGAGTAGCGAAGGTGCGGAGCTGCATCAATTCCACCTCCAACTCATGGATTTTCGAGACATAACTCTTCAACAGATCATATTCCTTGCAGATAAGAAAACAATGGTATTAAAATATTAACTACAGCAGCAACTAGAAACAACAACTATAGAGTACAAGTTACCTGCATCTTATCTGTATTATCAATTTCATCCCATGGTTTTCCACTGCGAGCTGATTCCATCATCAAGCTAAGCTTGTCTTTTTCAACCTGATGCATTGACTGGCGCAGTTAACTAACAAGTACACAAGCAACTAAACATGCTACACAATTTTTTATCAGTAACAAAAACAGTGAAAGCCAATAGAGTTTATGATGAATAAAAATTCATAGATTTCGTAAGAACATAAAATTAAATCAAGGGGATTTGCAATTTTGAATTGTAATCATTTCAAGTAAAAATTTAAAATAGATAGCACTATACTTCCAGTATCCAAATTCTATAACCATGGTCTGAATAAACAAGTTAGCTAATATGAAGAATGATTGTCAAAGGGCTGGGCATATTCGGTTCGGTTCGGTTTTATGCCCAATCCGCATCCAATCCGAATTTTTCGGATTCTCAAAACTCTCATCCAGATCCAGATTTTTTCCCCTTCATCCGAATATTCGGCCCAACCGAAATTCGGTTCGGTTCAGTTCGGTTTCGGTTTTGAATTTGCAAAGAGTTCTATCCAAAGACTTCTGTTGTGAATTTGCAAGCTGGGCATTGTCCTCATGATGAGGTTCCTGAGCTCGCCAACAAAGCTTTATTAGACTGGTTATCATCTTTAGAATAAAGTTTTGAGTTGATATAATTACGCAGAGAATTGATGTTTTAAATATGTTGTTCATATAATACAGCATGCTTATCTCTTGTAAGTATCATGTACATAACACATTTTGTGATTGATTTTAATCTTATGTAATTCTCAAGATCTTTTCTGCGAAATTTTTTAACTAAAGTTTAAGTTTATTTAATTACACGGGGGAGTGATGTTTTGTATGATATTGTTTATATAATGTAGCATATGCATCTTTTGTAAGTGCATCATGTGCATAACAAATTTTCTGGATTGATTTGAATCTTTACTTAGTTCTTAAGGATATTTTTCTTTGATATTGTTGTACTCATTGCTTGAAACTGCTCCTTGCGCCGTTTGAATCTATTGGATGATAACAGGAAAAGTTTTGAGGTATAAGTTTAGTCTCTAAACCGCCCAACAGAATTCGGGTCGGTTTTTTTTGGGAGGTTCAGGGGTTCAAACCGGATCCAAACCGATTTAATTCGGTTCGGGCGGTTTAGAGACTTCTTCTCATCCATTTAATTCGGTTCGGTTAACCGGTCTGTTTTTTCGGGCGGTTTTTTTGGTTGAACCGGTTTTTTTCGGTTTTTGCCCACCCCTAATTGTCATCAATGCTACTAATACACCATACAGTGTTTACAAAGGCACGTGCCTGATGCGTCTTGCAATGCAGCACAGTGGCGATGATTCCCGCATTTGATACAGCACCGCCTTTTTGCGCTTCGCAAGTGCCCTGTGCCGGGGTGCATGCAAGACATAGGCTAGTATATTTTCGTTCTTTAACATTTCATTTGGATCTTTACACTTGTAACCATATCCCAAAAAGAAAACTAAACCCATTAGGACGTTTTACTAGTCCGATTAAGGACCCTAACTCATTCTTGTTTATTACTTGATTTTTCTTTAATGTTAATCTTGATTTGACTTTTGATTTGAAATTTATTAACTTTCTACTATGTTGCGCATGCTAGCATTATGAATTAAGACCTTATTTAGTAATTTGGTCGAAGATATTATTTATTTTGACATATTTTTATGTGAAAATTCATAAGCATGTTCTTTCATGCTTGATTATCTATCTTGAAAAATTATGCGTGTGATATGCGCCTCCCTTCACTTGCGCGCGTGTATTGCATTGCCCCTTGCGCATGTGCGCGTAAAGGAACTTTGTACCCTTCATTGCGTATAGATAACACTGACACCATCTAGGGTGCCCTTTGACGGGTTTCTAACGCAAGGTATGAAAGCATTCAAAAAGCATCAGTTTTGTGCACTTGTGTTGCATAACAATGACTCTGTTACACCAAACTTGCATAGAATAATGAGAAAATATTATCTTTACTGCATAATGTATACTATTCTATTATAACTGATATGTACCTGAACTTCAATAGCACGTTGTGCTAAATGGTCGCAAGTTATTTGGCGTTCTTTCAGCTCTTTACGTAGCTCGACATTGGAAGCCTCGAGTAAAGAAACTTTGTGGCGGAGAACCTACAACCACACAAAAGAATAATAGTGATCTACAACCTATATCACTATGCAAAATAAGCAAGAAAAACTGTTATACCTGAAGCTCCTCAAAAGATGCTCCTCCACCACGAGAGAAAAGAAGTTCAGCTTGTAACTCTTCCAGTTGATTGCGCATTCTTTGCATTTCAGCCGTCATAGGATCACGATTTATCTACAAGAGAAGACAAATGTATCAGTTGCTGTTAGGTTAAAAAAAGTTATTTCTTTACAAATGCAGATATAACATACCACTGCTTTGTTCTGTATATTCCGAGCCCTGTTGGCATACTTGAGTGTATTTATAGTCTCTTCAGCATTAGTATCAGCAGGGCTTATGCAAGCTGTAGTGGATCATGCACCAGAAAGTCAGTATTAGATCAATGTTTAAAGAGTACTACAGCTTCAAAAAGTGATTGAGGGAATGGGCAACCAAAAACCGACTCACCGATCATAACAGTTTTGCTATTGCCCCCAAGGGAATCCTGCCAAAGGATTATAGGAAAAACTAATAAATGAAGGCTGTGTGGACGTTAAACATAAAGGCATACATGTGCACACAATATTCTAAGAAAGCGTGTGTTATAGCCCATCTCGACAAGCACCTACGTGCACACACACATGATAAAACCATATGTGTTTACATAAATAAAATTATAGATAAATAGATAGTTACGGACTAAAATGTGAGAGAGAGAGAGATTGCAATAAATTGGAGTTAGCTAGTAATTAGACATGAGTCTCTTAAACATTAATAACATCAGTACATAAACATTTTAGCTTAATACTAGAGCAAAACATAAAGGGAAAAGAAAGCCTGCAACCTAACATGAGCAGAGAGCAAAGACCAACTAAAGGGGGCAGAAAATGGGAAGACGCTAGCATAGTGGTTAAGAATCATAGTCAACGGAATAAACTAATCGTGAATCCTAATTGGGTCATTGTGGTCATAAGCTTTTCCAACCTTAAGCGTATATTCCACTTGAGATTAATAATCGCAGAATCTTTACAGGATTCAAGCCTCTTTTCTTGTGTTGGTATTAGGAGTTCCATCAATTCCAAAAGGAATATCAAACTACTGGCATAAGAAGATCTGCAAAGAACTAGGATTTATCATGTTCTCCTTTTTTTAATAATCTTTTTTCTGTTTGCATGATACAGTATCCATCTCCTCTCTTTTTTTTGTTAAGATATACATTTAGTTATTTTCATGATACAGTATCTATTCAGGTTTACTACAAAGGCTCCTTTCATCAGCAGCTATCATGCAGCAATCTCTGATTGACAGTGTAAATGATTATCTTGGCCATTGGAATAATCCATTACTAAGGTCGATCCTTAGTATTTCCTCACAATCATGCAAAACACCACCTAATACTTTGATTAATATATTTCCAATAAAGGTGTCTAATAGTTACCATTCATACTTCTCTATAATCTGAACAGTGTTGATATTATATTCAGTTTCAATAATTTAGTTTGTAAACAAACATGGCACTGTTACCAAAGAGAACAAACAGTTGTAGCTTCCAGTGAGATATCCGCCATAACACTAATTATGCATCCTGTTATTAATGAACGGAAAAAAAAGATTGTTGTCTCAATACCTACATGAATACATGAACTGGACAAAATTATTGTTGCAAACTAAAATCCCTATCAATCAAATATGTTTTACACCCTTTGGTAAATTGATTGGCAGGGAAGAAAAATCTTGCGGACAAATTGTAGTTAATTCCTTCACTGATGAAAATGAGCAAATTATGTAGACTAATTCTAGCGGTACGAACAGAAATTAAGCACTACACTGTTATCTTGAGTCCTTGCCTGCAAAAGCCGAGTTAGCTTGCTGTCACGATATGGGACATGACCTCCCTCCTTCCGCTTCTTCTCATCACCCAATGCACTAATTACATTGCCAAGAGCAAGCAAACCCCTATTTATATGTACACCTGCATAAGTAGCAAAAGTTTCAGCCATAAACAATAACCCTTTTAGGAAATAACCAATAAAAAGGGATAACATCATAGAACTAATATCACCTTCTTTGAACCGCAACCCATCAGCTCCAGTTCGTTTTGCACGTTCTGAACCAGCGAGATCAACTAAATGAAGCTTTGCAGATAGGATGTCCTCACCAAACTCATCTTTGGTTGCTCCATTGCACAGGCTACTGGCAATTTTCTTTTGCTCCAGACATATTGTAAATATAGCATGTGAGCGACTACAAAACAAAGAGAAGCAATAAAGAGCATTTATCAATATCAGCATAATAAGTTTGTGTTTGTAGAGCCTCTTATGCAAAACAGCCGAAGTTAAGACTTCAGTTTGTATAGGAACATATAACACATCTACAGAAAAACAAGGACTGAAATCAAATATAAAACCTCTTGAGAAAAATAAGACAACATAAATTCTAGTACCAAAAAATTTATTGGTTGGTTGTACCAAAATATGTAATTAAACACAAAGAGTCCATAATCACGTGTATTAGTTAGATGAGGCATCACCTATCCAACACTCCTTAAATTACTCATTGATTGAAGCAAGATAGCAAATAAAGATATAGCATCAGAAGCATTATAGTGTTTAACCATCTAAGCAAATGGATCGCGTGGTTTATTTAAGTACAACAGCATTGACTACTGGACAATTGAAAGAAGGAAATTGAAAAACAACCTTGACTGACTATTCATGTTGGTACTTCCTGTAGCACGAGCAAGTGACCCTCGAGTCAAATATGATGCCATCTCTTCCTTAGATCTGACTTCTGCTTCCATGACACCAGCAAGGCTGATACCGCCATTTGTTGTTTCCCTAATCTGGATGGGAGCTCTAGAAGGAATTGTTTGCTTGGCATGACAAGGTGCACCCTCAGCTCTCGAAGCAGCATTAGAATGAGGGTCTAACAAATCAAAAACTTCTTCCTTAAATATCTACAATTGCAAACATATGAATGAGAGAAATGATATAACAGTTTATATGTAAATATAGTTAACTAGCAATATGAAACATAAGATAAAGGACATCAGAATGCAAAGAGTCCAAAAGCAAAACAATAATGCAATTGCACTCTAATGTGAGGGATAATAACTTGCAGGGCACATAATAACGCTATGTATTTAATACCATGATAAACCATGCCATTCATTTGAAATTAAAAAGATCCAACTAACCTCAATAAATGAAACTCTAATTAAAAACTCTGCTTTCTCCTTCAGTGTGTCAACTTTTTTAAAAATTGTATCCATCACTTGAGGTATAACACCTCCGTTAAGATCCTCTCCATTGTAATTGGTTCCCATTGTGTAAGTTTTACCAGAACCAGTCTACAAGAAGAACGAGCAACAAAAACAAGAAGCTCTCTGTAATCAAAGATAACTAATAAAACAGTTATCTTAAACAATGAAAAAAAAGATACGAGAATGAAATACCTGGCCATAGGCAAGAACGGTAGCATTATAGCCAAGGAAGAGTGCATCAACAAGGGGTGCTACGCATTCATCAAATATCAATGAAGATGGAGAGCTTAAGTGGCCATAAACATGATCATATGTGAAAGCATGGGAACCAATTTGTACCTGTCTTAGTGTCATGTTTAATTAGAAAAGTTTCACATCTGTCAAATAAATCACAGTTCCATAATAACACAATAGTGGAAAAATATGTGTACACTATAGACATTAAGAAGATAAAATTGGAATAATTTGTAGTAATCATAGAGGGGGAAGCAAAAATGCTTCAAGCTAAATGGATTGGAGCTTTAATCCTTGGCAATGAACATATCAAAGCTTTAAGTCCGAAATCAATTTAATTGATAAACAATTCAAAGGATATAAACATATAATTTAATATCCGAAACATGATGAATAGAAACTTTGCCATCACATTTTTTACAATGAAATAAGGCACAAAAGAAAACTTCGGAAAGCATGCTATACATGTGTGTGTGTGTGTGTGTGTCTATATAGAAATAAAGTTCATAATTCATCTAGCTGTTATAAGCTTTAAAATGTTTTGCCGACAGTTAATATATTAGAGCGCAAAATTTAAGAACCACCTAGATTCTCCAAAAAAAAAAGGCACCTCCTTTTTGAAGGGACAACGAAAACATTTAGTGATTTTTAGCTTATAAATCTACAAATTTTAAGTTTCATCCAGCTTCTAGCCAATTTTCCCAAAAAAATTATCTGTATCTATATAAAAAAGAAACAGAAAATCTATACCTGAGGCTCTCCGGGGACAACAGTTACACAATCTGTACATCCCATCAGAAGCTCCGAAGTAATCAACGGTCTAATATTGACCGCAACCTTCACGCACTCTTTCTGATTGCATGATTTCGCCTCTTCTGAGCTTTCCATATCTCAATTTATAGAAAATTTCTCTAGAAAAAGATTAAAGATCTAGATCAAGACCAGAAACCCTACAATCCCTAGAATGAGAACGAGAAAATTAGGCAACAAAAGAATAAAATTACCTGATACGAGAAGAATTAGAGATCTCAGGGCTTGCAAAGAGAAAATTAGATTTTTTTTCCCTCTCTCTTCTCTAACGTTCTAATTTTTTCCTCTAATTTTTTTCCTTTTTTCTCGCAAGCGATCGAAGGAGGAGGAAGGGAGAAATGAGGGAGATAGAGCCCGCTTCGGAATTCAAAAACGCAGGGAGGGTCACGTGAGCGGCGGGTGCGATTACAGAAAGTATTTATTTTATAAGTAAAATGACCGTGATGCCCTTTTGGTGCTTTTAATAGGGACCACTCGTCTGCGATTGGGGCTGTTGCGGTGCTGCCCGTTCAAATTCAAATTTAGAGGAAGGGGGGCTGGTAACGGATCTGTCTTTGAAGGGGAAGGAGTTAAATTAAATATAATAAAACTTAGAGGAAGATAAATTTAAAATATAATACTTAAAAAAATAAGGGGCGTGCTTTGCATATGGTGCACACTAGTTTTTTATCAGTTTTCCTACTCAACTTTTTGTATCTGTACATTTGTCATGCCAGCAGCTCACGAGTAAAAAATGCACATTCAAACGCTAATTTTTAATCTATTCCTCTATACTTAAAGGAGGATCAAATTTTTAATCTATTCATCTATACAAAAGGGATGATCCAAGAATCATTGTTCATCATACAGTAATTGATTGTGGAGCCCGCTTACTTTCACTGACATATTTCCCTCACAAATAAGAATGAGGAAACAGATTTTGAATTTCAAATCTCTACTAAAAATTTGAAATTCAAATCACTGTTGTCATATCGCTCTCCTTCACAAACACAGACGTTTCCTCTCCCCTCTTTTTTCCCATTCTCCCACCTCGACTCAGACAAACCACCTCCTCCTCCCTCCGGCATCGTCAGCAGGCTCCTCACCCAAGCTTCCTTCAGCTCTCTCTCTCTATAAATTAATATGCCCCCAATCCTCCCAAACTATCCCCCCACCCAAAAATATATATTTTTTCTTCAGAACCATCGAGATCAAATATCGAAATCCCCAATATGTC